CTCTAGGACAAAGTATGCAGGAGGAGAAGAATGCCAAAGTGGACATGACTTGGATGGGAAACGAATCACAATAGTGTGCATTATACAGAAAATTCAAGATTCAGTTTGGTTCGATTCTTTAGTCTCACTGTTCGATATTTTTTCGATAAAAAAAAGAAAAATGTCCATGCCTTTCTTAACTTGTAATTTATAGAAGTTAATTCTGAACATTTGTTTGACCTCAAAAGTACAGTTTTTAAATTAAATGTTGCTGAAACATCAAATTTCTCAGTGGTTCTGTGATCAACAATGCAGTAGCCGAACAGATCCACTGATCCTTCAACACAGAGCATTTTCAGAAGACATGTTGATAAAATAAATTTTAAAAATCTGTATTGTTCCATACATAGTGTGTACTGAACTTAAAGTACTGAACCATTCGATACAGATGCATGTTTTGTTGCAGCCCTAATAAATTGTATTTATTTTTCTCCAGAATTGCAGTTTTTCAATTGGAAGTATGAACAACATAAGTCAATGTATCTTTTYTAACTTGCACATCAAGGAAATCATTTTATTTTTATCTTATAAGAATTGAAAGAAAATAGAAACATAATGAAGCCAAATTTTTATGAAGCTGCTGTAATGCAAAAAATAAAAATAAAAAAACACAAACAAGAAAAAAAAAAACAGCTTGCTGCAACATTCAATCAGCGTTTAGTACTTGTGATGCAATGTTTTAATAAAAACCGTGTCTAAAGGTTTTATTATTCCTAACAAGCCATGGCAGTTTTTAGATTAAAATATATTTGAGAATAAAATAGTTTTTATGTTTGTTGTTTTTACATTTTAGGATGAATACTGTGAATTATTTTTAAGGTTATGTTTGTACAAKCATCTCAAAAGAGAGGAGGAATAAAGTGAACGCTCCTGCTAAATCTAATGAAATCTGAAAAAGGGAATGAATAAATCTTTTTGTATATTGACCTAAGAGAGATCTGAGTCTCTTATTAAAACACCCCTCAGGGAGAAAATACCCACCAGGCTGGTTGTTGAAGTCCAGGATGCGGTGGTGAGACTGCAGGAGGTCTGGATTCGACGAGGACAGGTTTCCACTGACCGGCAGAGCTGGGGGGATCTGTTTGGACTGCTTCATCCCGACTATACTGTCGTCCTGTGATTGGCCTACGCAGACGTCACTATGGAAACAAGATAGACAGCAGGGAGGGGGTGAGAGAGAGAGAGTAGTTCTGTCAACAACCAGCAGAGGGCAGCATCTGTGTTAAAAAACCTGTAGACATGTTTGTAAAACTGTGGAGCTCAATCAAACCATCTGTCAACATGGATTTTATAATTAAACCCTAACTGCTGATTGGATTAGATCTTATTACTTGTAAGGTTTGGGGGGCAGGATGCTGGTGAGCGTCTTGTCAAAGATCTTTTTCAGTTTGTTGCGACCTCCCACTGTGTTGGTCTTGGCCTTCTTGCTGGCTTTCTCCAGGCCCATGACCTGCTCCACGTCCACGGCCAGGTCCGGTATAGAGTAGCGGCTGGCCTTCTTGATGTCGCCGATCTTCGGCAGGTGGGGCGCGCCGTTCTTCCTGTCGTGTTCCTCGTCCGCGTCCAGGTCGTGCTCGTYCTCTGGCCGCGTCAACAGCTCTTTGAACACTGACATGAAAAATAAACGAAGGCAGAGGAGATGAGCTAGAAAGCCTTTAATGGCATATTTTCAGGATATAAAGGCAGAGGAGGAACGTWAAGATTACCTAAAAGATTTGTCTTCACAGTTATGGACAAGTGGGTGTTGTTCTTAAGAATCTCATTGGCTTTACAGAGCTGGACATTTTCAAAATTCTGCCCGTTCACCTCCAGAATCTGCAAAAAGGAAGAGATGCTGCAGTTACGGTCATGTATARGAGCAGGGAGGGTGTGGGATTAATCTTGTGCAGGAATTGAATTTGAATTGCTCAGATTGAATCTGAATGTGCATAATTTGAAATTGAATGCATTGGTTTGAAAATTAATTTTACTAAATTGAAACAGAATTTATTTGAATCTGAATTTAAAGTTTTGAATTTGAAATAATTTGTTTTGAAACTGTATTTTGGTTTATTAAAAATCCAGTTTGACTACTTTCACTTTAAGTTCCATAATTCAGATTTTTGTGTCACACATCCTGGTCCTTGAGAAAGCCAGGCAGAGTAATCAAACACAGATCCACAGATTTATGTTTCACTTCGGTGAAGTTTCCCTTCTGTATGTAACAGAGTTGATGCAATCCACTGTAAAAGTGACAAAAACAGACAAAGTTATTTTATTTCAGTGATTAATTTGACCTATATGTAGAAAATGTTACATCTACATCAGATCATGGATCACATATTGATCAGATGCTGCTGCTGACTGATCCATGATGTGATGTAAATGTAACATTTTCTATCCATAGGTAAAATTAATCACTGCAATAAAATAACTTTGTTTTTGTCACTTTTACAGTGGATTGCTTCAACTCTGTTACATACAGAAGGGAAACTTCACCAAAGTGAAACGTAAATCTGTGGTTCTGTGTTTGATTACTCTGCCTGGCTTTCTCAAGGACCAGGATGTGACACAAAAATCTGAATTTTGGAACTGAAAGTGAAAGTAGTCAAACTGAATTTTTAATAAATCAAAATACAGTTTCAAAGCAAATTAATTCAGATACAAAACTTTAAATTCAGATTCAATTTAGTAAAATTATTTTCAAACCAATGTATTCAATTTCAAATTACGCACATTCAGATTCAATCTGAACAATTCAAATTCTATTCCTGCTGGCACAAGATTAATCCCATAGGAGTGAACTGTACAACAGAAAACAGCAATGATGWCATCATGTTTTAGCCCTGTTGACGTGGAGTGTTTATTCCTCCAAAGAAAAGTTTAAGATTCACTGTGTTATGAAATCTCTGGGCTCCTACTTACAGAGACATGGAGCTCAAGTCTGTTTGGWTTCATGACAAATAACTCAGATTAACACTAAAGCTCTGAATAAGTGGGCCCAAAATGAGGGATGACAGGGACCGAAGCAGGAAAACGTGGAAGATACGAGTCGTGRGAGAGTTAACGCTTCCGAGGAAGTTGGAGCCGCTGCTTCCTTTTGGGGGAAACAGCTGCAGGGGGTGTTTGGAGTCAAGAGGGCTTAACTCACATCCAGAGACTCTCAAGATGGTTTCAAGGATTAAGAGACTTTGCTTAAAGCTGAGAAGCCTGCAGAGTGTGAAAATAGTTGAGAAGTTTGCGAGCAGAAAGTCAACATGGGGTGCCRGCAGCTTCTGGCAAGTTCAATTTAATTCTTCTGAAAAGGACCTCTTTAATGCTAGTTGGATCAAAATGCAAAACCAATTTCACAACAAAAATGAGCTCCGACTGGAAAAAAAGATCAATTCGAGTGCTGTGTGTGTGCCCAACTGGAGGAATTTTTCTTCACAGTCGCAACAGAAAGAAAAAGAGTGCTTTTTGAGATTGCTCCGAGGCTGAATAAACTCAAAAGAACGTTCAATTATGTATAAATAAAACAAAATTCAGCAATGTTTGCTGCAAAAGCAGCTCAACAGTGAATCCTAATGTAAAAGTTACCTGATCTCCACGTTTAAGGCCGGCCTCTGCTGCCTTGCTGCCTGGCTCCACYGCATCTATAAAGATGGAGAAACCTTTCTCCTGACCTGCGAGGAGGCTGAAGGCCAGAGGAGAGTCCCTGGACGGCTTGGTCAGCGTCACCAGCCGCGGCTTGGCTTTAGCTGCGCACGCTATATTTAACAGTCTGAGATGCCCGCACATTTTCTGAATGAGAAACAGGAGAACAAAGAAATTAAAAAAATAAATAAATAAATAAATCACTTTCCTTTTTTCCCCCACGTGCGGTGAAGCTAATTTAAATGCTTACCTCTTTCTCCAGGTTGTTTTCAAACTCCTCCAAAAAGTGAGTCATGGCGGGGTCTCCCTCAAAGTCGTTGAAGTGATTGTTCACCCACAGCAAGACTACCCGTGTAACCTGCAGAAACCACAGGTCAGCAGAGTGTTTCGCTTCAGTAGCTCATACCTGACCCAAAAATGTCTGAAGATTCTTGCTAAATATACAAAAATGGGTACCACGTTACAATAAGGCTCCCCTTATAGATGGCTTTTAAAGAGTTTATAGATAGTAATATTCGTGAACAGATTTGTCTCATTATTTGGTAGGAAACTGGGCAGTTTGGTCTTTCTCGTCCCTAATTACTGCACAATAAACATTTATTAACGATTTCTAAAGTGTTTACAGATTAATTAGTAACCTATCTATAAACTCTTTATAAGTTATCTATAAGGGGAGCCTTATTGTAAAGTGGTACACAAATGTGTCTACATTTTTGCATAAACGTACCAATCATGCAGGAATAAAGTRTTTATTTGACAGTTCATCATTCAGTTGTTTCTAACAGTAGTAAATTGTCACGTTTTGAGCAGCACGAGTGATTTTGTTGACATTTATTGGAGAAAGAATTGTGAGTGAATTGTTTAGAGTTAAAACAGTGGGTATAACATGTGAAAGTCATTAACAAAATCATCAAAACCTAAACTGACGAGCAAAATTAGCTAAATTGCTGCTAAAAGCTTAAATTAGCAAAACAGTATGTCCACCTWATCAAGTTTTAAACTCTTATATRAGCCAAAACATCTTTTTAATCTTGTTTTGAGACTGATTTACAAAACAAGAACTGATTGTGTAWGAATAATAATCTTGTTTTCAGAATGTGTYAGATTATTTGTAACCTGAAAATTTGACTCAAATTAAGTCAAAGATTTCTGCCAGTGGAGTAAGAAAATTGTACTTGGTAAGATTCTTGAAATACTTGATTTGACTCAGTTTTTTCTTATTTCAAGAATCTTACCAAGTAAAATTTTCTGACTCATTTGGCAGAAATTTTTGACTTAATTTGAGTCAAATTTTCAGGTTAACAAGACAAATACTCTTATACATTCTGAAAACAAGATTATTATTCTCATACAGTCAGTTCTTGTTTAGGAAATTTGTCTTAAAACAAGATCAAAACTACTTTTTGACTGGATATAAGATTTTAAAACTTGGTTAAATTTAGTTTTTGCTTCAAGTATTTGATGTTTATTCTCCTTWCGCTACTTCAGATGAAGCACAATATTCAGAACGGATCAGGAGTTTTCTGCTGCCCGTACCTTATCCCTGAGACTGGGGTCGTGAAACCACTCCAGGAGCTTTTTGCCCACCACCATGGGGCTGGAAAGAAAAGTCCTGTAGGTCAACAGGAAGTCCTCGATGTAGGTCGGGTCCACTACTGAGTGCTCCTCCACCAGGTGCATGGTGAGGCGCTCCGGTGTGCCCTGACGTTTGACACCATATTGTTGTAAAATGTTTTCCTTTKAAGGTTTGAATGGTTTTAAAGTGGATGTGTCACCTTGATGACGATGTGTCCTTTCCTGGTGCCGGTCCGGTCCAGTTCACGGTGTTCCTTCACCATAACGATCTCTCCTTCCTCCTCGACTTTCTGCATATTCTTCTCAACCTGGTTAAGGATGCAGCAGTAGTCCTGCTGGGCTATACATACAAACTGAAAAATAAAAGAGAACACAGAAAAAAAACAGGCTTTAGGCACTTGATTTAACGTTCAATCTTCTCCTTTACATTTCTCCTTTTTCTTTTTTTCTTTTATTAAAAAAAAATCACTGATGATGAAGAAACTAATATTCAGTTCTGTTTTCTACTGAAGTGGCTAAAAAGAAAAAAAAACTAATGCAACAAACAATTGTTTCATGGACAAAAAACGACTTTGCTCGTTAGCAGCAATGGTGTTCTGATCCAGGCCTGATGAGAAAACTTCACACATTTCAGTTCGTCAGCTCTCACTGCTGAGTACATTATCACCATTAAACCCGTGATGAGAATCAGTGATCTCACAGCTTGCACAAGATGGCTCATTGTCTTTTAAAATGCCTCACGTTAGGGGTTGATACTGCCTCGAGCGACGTTTGCTGTCACAAGTGCAAACACTTTACGCACAAGTGGGTCACAGCGGGATTTATGGCGTAAGATGACAGGATTCCTGCCATGTTTTCACACCAAAATATAAAGGACAAACACTTATTCACGCAAGATTATCYGTCTGAAGTAAATGGGACGGTAAAAGTGAAGTTCTTACCTGACAGTCGTCCACTTTAGTCTTCATTACACCTTTCATGTACTCCTTCTCCATGGTGGGCGACACCCCAAAACTATTCCCCATGCACAGGACCTCTGTCCGGCTGTCGGGGTAAGTCACCTCCACGGAGCCGTTTAAGATCACCGACCACGAGTCCAGCTGGAGCGATAGCACACACACACACACACACGCGCACACAACAGGATATTAAAAAAAAATACCAAATTTATTCACGCATAATACGATCTCGAGTATAATAAGATCATAATTTTTTGAGCTTAAAAAGCATAAAAATCTAATCAGCAATAACCCATGTAAAATACTACCCCACCACTTTATGGATGATTTTTAGGGTTAAATTTCTAGTATTATACAAGAATAAATACAGTAGTTAATGTGTTCAATTTAAAATCTCTAGGRTGCTGACTAACAGATGCTTTTGTTTACCTAAAAAAACGACAGAGGTCATTTCATAGTAAGGTTGGGCGATATCTTACAAACRGTTATTCATCAGTCCAACAAATGATGATGAGCGATATATTCGTGCAGGTAGTTTGGYCTTTTTTGTGGTTTTGTAGTCCAAAAATGGAGGAACTGGTTGCCAAAAATATATATATAAATTCGCCTATTTGGGATTGCCTTGGCTTTAAACTGAATAAAAAAGGTAACTATAAGTAGGGCCCTATGATCTCCACAGTTGCAGAAAACATGGACAGAATAACGGAACTGACCAAACACAACAAAATCCAGTGTAAAACACAGAATCTCAAGGAATTCGCTTACTTAGGCGAGTTTCTGATGTATTTTAGCCGCTGCCGCTCCCTGTACCTGCCTTTACCTGGTAACAGTCTCCCTGAGCTCCCCTCCCGACACAGACAAAATAAAATCAGCCATGACCGGCACGGCGAACAGACTCGCTAAAACAGCAACGTCCTCCAAAACAATGAAGCTTAGGGCAGGGCTATTCAACTAAACTGCTCCGGGGGCCACAGTTACTGCAGYCCAACAGCTCAAGGGCCCAACATCCAGCAATTAAAGTCATTATGTAAATAAACCAAGCTGAGGTTCTTCTTCAATGAAGCAGCTCTGTTGTCCTCCATCTATATTTTCAGTTACAGGCTGAGTCATTTCTACCTTCTCCTCTCTGTCAACACTCTGGTTTAAACAGCAACGTCCTCCAAAACAATGAAGCTTAG